TAGCCGGCAGTGGGAGGTAGAAAGTTTTTGAATCCAGCTGTTGTCCACTCTTAGTCTTAAACTTAATGTCTCCCCCCTTAAGCGTCAACGAATTATTCATTAAACTAGCGATCACCAGTGATCAATAACTTTTAGGAGGATTTTTACCGAGTTGGATTCTCTAAGCGAATATCTACAGCGGTATTCAATCATAACCATCTGGTGAATCCCGAATTGAATCAAAAATCCATCCTGCACTCCACTGATAGTTATGATCCAAATACACACTGTAAACGTGTGCCTAAAAGGGAACACTGTGTCAATTTACTCAGGATTTACATTTACCAACAGAGATTGATCTATTAAGAAAGAAAAAGTTTAAATTCTTATAAATAATACATTTTTTCATTGAGTCAGTCAAACATGAAGTATTTATAAAATTTGATCAGTGATGAATGAATAAAGTAAAAAGGAATACAACTACTTACAAGTAGCTGAACATATCACAATTAAAAAAACGTAAAGGTCATGAGATATGTTAACAAAAAGTTGTGTATGTTGTTTTTTGTTGGCTACAAGATCAGAAAAACATGTTGCATTAACATATATAGATTAATCGTGAATAAGAATCCCAAGGGAATATTTTGTTTAACAAGTGGATAACATAATTCAAATAATGAATTCTTCCCTCAATAATTAATTTCCAAGCATATATATATATAACACAACCATCATCAAAAAGGTACAAGTATTTATAAACAATCGTCTACACAAGTTACTCAATGTCGGCTGGCTGGATACCATCAACAACAGCCTACTGTGGGAGAGGACAAACCAACTTTCAGCCGAAGAGGAATTTCGGAATAGACCTTGGAAGTGGATAGGACACACATTAAAGAAATCATGAAACTGCATCACGAGGCAAGCATTACCTTGGAATCATGAAGGGGGACAAAAAAGAGTAAGGTCGAAGAACGCACTGAGTCGGGAACTGGAATTAGACATGAAACGAATGAATGTTAACTGGAAAGAACTGGGAAGGATTGCACAGGACAGAGATGGATTAGGGATCCAGATGAGCTGTCTAAGTAATATATATAGTAATATATGTCAAGAAATATCAAATGATATTTCCAGTTAAACAAACTTTATAAACAAAGATGTAAAAGATTTATTCATTTGATTCGAAGTCATTCAATTAGGCATGAATGTGATGGTTGAAAACTAATAATTTTAATACGAATAAAGGGAAATAAGTTACATTTAATTCTTTGTAAAGTGAGTGAAATAGATTTATTCATAAATGTACTAGCTATATATGATAGAAAAAAAATCTGATCAACCATTTATTTATGTGATAAGTTGATGGAATAAATGAATTTATGTCAGGCAGTGAAATCTATTACCCGCGTTTTGTGATATTTGGGACTCATTTACTTCACTTATCATTATCCCATAGATTATATTCATATTGGGACTCGAACGTACTATCTTTCGCGTCAAACGCCGAAATTGTTATCAACTGAGCTACTAAGTTCAGAATGTCATCGAATATGATGTTTGTATCAACAGAAAATTACCTCGAGATAGTCATCATCACAGGTTGAGCATATGCTAATAAAAACCGGTTGAATGTCAGTCAAGATTATCAGCTATCGGATAATTCAAATCCTTCCTAATGCCGATGTAGATAAATTAATGGTGAAATAAAAAACAAAACTTGGATTATTTAATATCAGTTGGTTAAATAACCCATCATAAGAACTGAATGTTGTTAGCTGTAGAATTACTGTAAGTCATGAAACACCCGTTTTGTTCCACTAAGTTACTCCATAACATTACAAAACCATAACTGTAAACAAGATGGGAAATAATGATATTTAAGACATATGACTACGGTGATGTTGTTTGCTCATACAGTTTTCACAATGACTTACAAGTGTAAAAACACACTTTCAATTCCCTTTCACTAATGGATAATTACATGATGAAATATAGTTCAGTTATTATTTAAATACTTCTGGCAGTTTTGTTGTTTTAGTAAAGACGATTTGATTGTGGATTTAAACATCTTTTATATGTTGTAGAAGATAATTTTTGTCAATCATATTCATCGATAAATTTACTCACTTCCACACTAGAGTTACACATATATTAGTTCATTTTGTATAGCAATGTTTAAAATACCTCAGTTTTTATAATTTAATCATTTCCTAAAAACATATTGTAGGAGCTGGTACAATGTCAACCCAAATAGATTATTCTAATCTCGGAGCAGATCAATCTATTCATTCTTCTCAAGCCATATTTTCATCCTGTCTTTTGTTTGCTTATTAATCCTGACTGATTTCTTATATGATCTTACATGTGCTAATTACTTACTCTACTCATCATGTGTCTGTAACATATTTTTGGTCTGACCATAAATATCGATTCACGTTTGGTTAAATTGAGTTGGCTCACATGTCTTCTGCATAGCGCATCATTTTGTTTTGCTTCGCTCTCCGATCACCGATTGTACGAAATTACGTATTCAAAAACCATTCTCGGATTTGACTTACTTAATTCTGTTATTCACTAACGCGATTTAGGTGGATAATTATATGCGAGGATTGGCGCTATGTATGTTTCGATAACAAGCAGCAAACGATTTACCTGCAATCAGATATCAAGCCACTAAAACATCATGATAATTCTCAAAATTATCAACATATTTCAGTAAAAATGTGTTAATTTATTAAGGATTCATTGGTGATGATACTAAAAATGGCGAATTGAAAAATTTAAACCAGATACGTCAACAGAATCCAGCTGACGATTAAGATGTCATACAATTAATTTTTATTTCCAAGTAGTACTAGTCACCATAGCCTATTTTCAAAAAATGATGTCAGTGATGCTCTCTCAAGTATTTATGGATTGTGATGGAAAATATTTGTGCTACAAATAGACTAAATTTTCATTGCTGTCAAATGATTAAGATACAAATCATTGATTTTTATCAATTTCATTTAAATTGGTGACTTATTATGTTCTCAAAAATTTCTTTATCATCTTGTGTGGCTTATTCATGTGATCAATTGAATATAGATTGTGACCTTATGGTAATGTTGACTTATATAATACAACATGTTTATTCTACATATATCTACATATATTTTTGTTTGATTAAATTTTGTTAAACTTTTTTATTACATACCCCGGGTATTAAAAGATTATGATACGATTCAGGGATATCTGTTGTTTTCTGTATACGGTAAGATGTAAACTACTTCAATTTGGGCGAGTAAACTTAGTTAACTGTTGACAAATTTTAAGCAATTTGTTTCAATAATAAGTCCTGACATGAACCGTTTAATGATGAATAATCTAATTCCAAGTGAAGATCACAGTGTTTTACGAATACAGATTATGAATAGACATAATTGCTTGAAAGGATAATCTTTACAGTTTTATTTCAAATACAAATAATCGATTTATGTGAAGTCAGATATTATCACCAACAAATGCCAGCTCAGTGTTCTAGAGATTAAGCGTTAGCACGCGAAACGGTAGGTCCTGTATTCGATTCCCTTATGTAGGGTCGTGGATGCGCACTGATGAGGAGTCTCATAATAGAAGAAAACGGTCGTCCAGTGGTTTTAGGTTCTCAATGGTCGTCTAACATTGTTCGATTCGTGATCTCAGTCAAAAAATCTATTGTTTTGTTGTTATAGCTAACACTTGTTATTTTATTAGAAGTCTAATGACTAGTCAAGTACATCTCAGTATGTATGTTTTTATATATTTTCAACAAATATTAGTATGGACTCATTGCATAGGCTAAAAAAGGCAAATAAAACATAATGACATTTTGACTTTGAAGCTTTTAGGAACTCAAAATGAACTTCACCAATGGGTTTCCAGGTTTACAATAATATAGCTTGGACCAGATTGCCAGGCGAAACGTTGGATTTACTACAAATTCATTCACTGAGATTTTACAAATATATTATTCCTAATTAATGTCTTACATCAACTCGGCGCTCAAATACTGTGAAACTATTCGCTCTAATTTAGACGAAAGTTCTTATAAATATAGGTTGGGGTTTTAATAAATTTCAAAAATTTCTTTAAAAACATTATTAATCTAGATACGACTGTTGATCTTTTGGATGTATTGTGAATGCTTGTACGTCTTCAATCTAATCTGAAATGTTTATTGATCAACATATGTTGAAATGAAATGTTTGGAAATACAACTAACCGAAAGTCAATAATTATACATTTCTCATAATTCAGCTTTCGTTAGATTCAAACCCCATTTGTTTATGAATGTATTCACTATTGGAAAATGTCGAAATTTAACTCAAAACAGTAATCGAACAATTTAAAATCTATTTACGATTGACTATTTTTGCATTCTTTCGTAAATAAAGATTCTATTCACTAATGTACGCTATTACACCATCACAGCGAAAACTTGTACATTTTGAGCTATATATCATGAGTTGACGTTCATTAGGCAACCAACGAAAACCAGAAAGTACTGGACAGCTGTTAGGTTACAAAATATTGTGTTTAGAAACATGACACACGAGAAACCAACTCAGTGGTGTCGATGTTTAGGTCCTTTCTGCTTTACATCAAGTCCTGAGTTTGTTCCTAAATAGTTTAAAGCTATTCTCCGTTAACGAGATCTAAATCAGAACGAAACAGATGTCTTATTCTTCCTGCATTACAATAGTCATATAAATAACCATAGTCCATCATGTAAACTATAAATCTCAACAATCTTCACAAACTCTTTGTATGAATACTTTGTAAATTGTTTGTTTCTGTGTTTCCAAAGCCACAAAACGTTATCCACCAAAGACTACACACCTCAGTTGTCGATGAAATAGTTTGAAAATGATTCAAAACAATGTTTCAATTAAATTATAGTTTTTATACTATATAACTAATCGTATTATTTATCAAGAGTAATTATTTTGTATTACAACAATGAAATTCACTATGTAATGTATGCCTATGCTCCATTGGGAGTAACAGGCGTAAGTAAGTATGCAATGTATCGAAAAAGTATTGTTGAAACAACAATTCGAGAATATATATATGGATTCGTTAAAATCACCAACATTATAAAGTTAGTCAAATCAGAAAATATGTCCTATTGTCTTGTTAAAATGTAAAGTTCAAGTGTTAAATCAGTTAAAACCTATTAAATATATACCAAGCAGAGTAAATTATTAAACCCATAGTAATAAATGGTTTCAATTGTCTTGAATGATTACAATAATCAGTTGTACAACATGATAAAAGATCCTTAATAGGGAAATTAGCTGCAGTACCTGAACAGTTGGCAACGCATTGTCGTTTAACATAAATTCCCTTCACTCCAGTTCTCTAAAATCAAAATGTTTGAAAAAAGAAAAATTAGAAAAAATGATAATTAATTTAGAAAATAAATTAATACGACATTGTCAGTAATAAGTCTTGTCGATTGAACGCTATATTCGTTTTCCTAAGCTATCCTGGTAACCCACAGGCTAGAACTACTCAACGACTTGAACACCAGAGAGAAGACGCAAGTATGAGAGAAAAATATTTTACTCCAAGGTTCGTTCTGGTACAGAAAATCATGGGTATTTATAGATGTTAGCGTCTATTAAATCAACACCATATTTCAGCCAATCCTTTAACGACATATTATGCTACTGACCAATAGTAGCACGCCACGTTGGAATTCTAGAATGTTCCATCATACTCTGATTGGCTAGGGCTCTCCGGCTCCTTTTGGGACTCTGGAGGCTCCGTTGAAGTTCTCCGGAAGACGACTCAACAGTCAGTAAATATATGTCTATTCAATGATAATTAACATTTATAATTCAAAAATGAAGAATATTTGAGCGAACAATTGTTTCTGCAATAACTTCATCATCAAGCTCCACAGTTATAAGTTCATAACTATTATGATATTTTACAAAGGTCAAAATGTGGCATGCATTAATGAATTTGACAATGTTATATGTTAAAAATGGTGAACGTTTGCATCTGTTACGACACATATACTTCAAAATTGTGTTGTTTGCAAATTAGAAAAGTCATTTAATAGAGGCCAGAATGATTTGGAGTAGTGTTCAGTCATAATCAGTATAATAGTAACACAGGAGAAATGAAGATGCAAAAAAATCGTGTGAAAATGCATAGCAGAAGAATTTCATCTTGTCACTTGAGATAATAGTGATAAATAGTAATAATAATAAGATTGTTGTGTGAATATAATATGTAATAAAAGGGATGTTATCAGGGTAATTACCGTAAACGAATTTGGAATAATGGTTGTAAGGATTAAGATAGAGGTGAAAAAAAGGGGGCAGAAGTTTATAATATTTAGTTTAGGCATCCCGTTATCCAGTCGTCGGCCAAGGTAAACATAGAGGCTGGATATACCTTTTCTGGATACATAAGTTTGGTTTTCTGGAGTTGATCCAGATGGCTTCGGCTATGTAGAGTTGGCGTAATCTAGCTCCTTGAGGTAGATTTTTCGGAACTTGATATAAAACAGAGAAATCTTCCTCTATTTTGATATGATGTTCACTATTTGCCAAGTGAGAAAGGATGGTGGTGTTAATGGATTTAGTGACTCCTTTTCCCAACCATGCTGGTACATGTTCACGAATACGCAAGGATAAAGCCCTCTGAGTACGGCCTATGTAACTAGCTCCATAGGAGCAGTTGAATCAATATATACATATGGAAGAACCCATCTTCGGTAACTTGTTGTGTAATTACTGGATTAGTTGAGAAAATTATGTGTAGTTTGGCGGTGTGAAAAGTCCTTTCAACAGATCTTTTCAGTCGGCTATGTCACCTTTAAAGTTCAGTCTCAGATACAAGGTTTTTTTTACTCACTGTCACAATTTCTTCACTTTTTTATTAATATTTTCTACAAGGTATTTTTTGAACGAAATTATCTGGATAGCCATTATTTCGCAATGTGTTTTTAGTACGTCTATTTCACTATCGACACTGTCCTCAGAACATAATAGCTTGATTCTGTGGCTGAGACATTTAACCAAATTTATTTTATATTGAAGAAGAGTGAAGCTTTGGAAATGTGTATACTGATCAGTCTATGTATTCTTCCTAAATATATTACGTTTTATGAAACCATCTCTTCTTCTAGAAAGCAGGACTTCAAGGATAGCTATACTATTGTCTTTCTCTTCCTCGCTGGTGAATTTAATAGCTGGGTGGACGTTATTGAAAAAACCCAATATCTCCTGTTTGTCAACAATTTTGTCACATACGATTAGTGTGTCATCTATATAATAGTCTAGCTTACTTAAAATGTCTTTTAACGGTCCGTTATCTAGTTTGGCCATAAAAATGTCAGCAAGGATCAGGTGTGTTTTAGTAAGTAAAAAAAGAATTAAAAAGTTTATAATACATATCAATTGATGATTTCTCAAGTTTCAATAAGCTGTATATAGGTATGTATCTAGACATCGGTTATTTGTAAGGAGTACATCATCAGGTTTATGAAAGTCTTAACCATTAGTTTAAATTTCACCTATGTATTCAAAAGATAATTAACTTTTCATCTTGAATCCATCTTGATAATTACTAGTTTATTTTACAACATGTTATGATATCACAAATTTGTTATTCAGAAGGAGTTTTGTGAAGATTTCAGTATTTTCATAGTTGAAATCGTGAGTCAATAGGTTAAGTGCCCTGGCGCGAGACTGGTAAGTCCTGGGTTCGAATCTCGCGAGGCGGGATCGTGGATGCGCACTGCTGAGGAGTCCCACAATAAGACGAAATGACCGTCCAGTGCTTCCAGGTTTTCCATGGTGGTCTAGCTTCAATTGACTCATGATTTCAACTATGAAAGTTTGTTATTCTTTCTATTTCATATAATCCATCTCTTTTATTTAGTGTACAGAATATATACCTTTCTTATCTTTTTGATTATCAATTGGACATTCTTGTAACTGATATTTTTCAAAATTCATATTAAATTACTTAGCAAATATGAAATAAACCTTTTTTGAATTGTATTTTTCAGGTATATCACATTTCATAGATTGGCTTTATTTTATATGTTCGAAATTTACAAAAAAAGTTCGTCATTTATCTGCAATGGTTTCCTACAACTTTTATGACTATTTCAAATTGGTTTCTATCCTCATATAGATTTGAACACATGGTTTATTTGTAAAAGAGCGTTAAAATCAATCATTATAAAGGTTACAATTCATGTTTCATTAATCAATCCTATGGAAGAATTCAAGGTCAGGGGCTATTTAGCTCAAAAGAAATTTTATGTTTTGGTAAATCGCGTTTTTTTAATAGTTGAATTCATGATTCGATCTAAGCTAGATTACCACCGAAAACCTGGAAGCACTAAACAACCGTTTTGACCCCATATGGGACTCTTCATCAGTGCGCGTCTACGATCCCGCATGACGGACTTGAATACAGAACCTTCGGTTTTGCGGGCGCCCGCCTGACTTCTAGACTACTGAGTCAGCATCTAATGGAGTTAATGTCTAACTTCAGTCGATCCATTGTCTTGCTCAACCCTTCATTCATTGTCTGAAGTAGATAACTGTCTCCATCCGACAAGGATTAAACTCCACTAGTCAGGGCTTCTCACTAGAACTGCAGGAAATCCATCTTGAAACTAATCACTGGTGAGTACATTATAATAATAATAATAATAATTATTATTATTATTATTATTATTATTATTATCAGAATGGGGATTTATGGAGATTGTAGTAATTTTAATTGTTGAATCTATCAGTCGATCTAATCTGGACTTATAAATATAACAAGTCAATGAATGGAAAGATTGACAAGATTTTATTATTATTTCTGTTTTATTTAAATTTGTTTATACCAAAGTGAATTAATGTTTTCATTTGAATTTTTGACAGTGATATCTGGAATCAACAATAGCTTAGTAATAGGAGTTTATTTCAAATTAACTATTTACTGTTAATTTTGCATTATGACCAACAATGAAATGCAGAACATGTGTTTCTTCCTAATTTCAGTACGTCAGTGTGCTAACGTACAGAGGAAAAAAAAATGAAAAATCAATCGTTAGGAAAAATATCATGTTTCTCTCACTGTTCATTTGAATAACATCTTCATATCAACTCATAAATAACGTTAAACTATGGTGATAATGAAAAAGAATAGTCTTCACATTATGAGGTACATTCATATCTCACTCATGGTACCTCTTTAAGTTTTGAAAGTAAAGAGAGTTACAACAGATACGATGGTGTAGACAGTAGCATTATAAATTTTTAGGACGTATACACTACAGATACCGTGTCCTCAATATTAACAGTGGGAAAATACCCAGAGAGTTCCGTCTACCATCCTGAAATAATTTTATTGGTTGATGTATGTAACATAAATGTAGGAGGTTCTGATCTTAGTAGATCAACCTTATTGATCATCGTGTAATATAAGTGAGAAAAAATCGTAGATTTCATGCAAACTAGTTGACTTACAATACATCCTCCACAGCCAGATTCAGTTGAAGTACTTCCATCTACGCTCAAACAATTTTCGCATACGTAACATGTGATAGAATAAACTAAACATCAATTACAAAAAGCGTACTGTTATGTTTGAAGCAAATTAGAAAGTGCATAATACTAAGCTCAAAAATTGATTTTGTGATTTTTATACTGGCTGAAAGAATGGTTGTGATCATCTCATATTTTATCATGATTAGTAATAACAAGTATAACAGACAGGGACTATCTAAGTTATAATACTGGGTGACACAATGTCACTTAAATTTCTTTTTTTCAATTTCTATGTATCATGTTGAGTTAATACAATTATAGATGTAATAATGAGATATATTGAGGAAGCGAAATAATAAGATTATGGAGAATGAAAATCGAGATACGTGTACAAACAGTGATGACACGACTATGGTAAGCAAAGATGGATAGTGGCTAGCAGTGGAATCCAGGACGAGCGTTTCGTTCTATTTGGGACTCGTCAGCTGAATGTACCTGCATCTCAGAGTTGATGTTCACTCTGGGACTCCAACCCAGTAATGACACGACTATTGCTAACAGTCATCGTCGAAGTGTATCAACAAGGCTAAATAATACCATCTGTAAATAAATCATAAATGATGACTTACTTTGAAGTATACGCTTGTGATGTTATTGCTGGAAAAAATAACTAAAGCCTTACTGATACATCACTCAGCTAGACTAGAATAAAATCATTAGAATTCTTATCTTAAGCTACAATTCTACCTGCCTAGAGATTAAAAGTTGACATGATTAACCATTCTATCATAAGAAATTATTTAATTTTCAAATGTTGACCTCGAAATAAGTAAATTGTTCTTTATTCATTACAGTCTATGAATAAACTTTTGTTAAACATTAAGCATATTTATAAGTATTTGGCAAAAAACTATAAATCTTTTCATTGTTCTAAATTATACTTTCTTTATAATTATTAATTCAGTGATATTGTAGTGAATGAGAACATTAGTTGGGGACAATCGAATGTATTTAAGCACACATTACAGACTATCTCACTAAATTCTGATTACCATATAGCAAACAGTTAATTTGCAAAATAACAACCTATTGTCTCAATCTTCACCGGTTCTTCTGTAAATATTAATCCATCTTCTCTAATTCTATTGTTCATGCATTTTCCTACCTATTGCGCTTCATTTTAGTCCTTTTCTTATGGGTCTTCTGCCAATATACATTCTGTGTCTGACCATCTTATATGATATATGATATATATATGGATATAAATAGACCACACTACAATATGATCTCATTATTAATGTTTTAAAAACTGAGCATTATAGTTAGCTTAGTAAAATTTATGACATGGTTACCATTCATTTCATTTTCAATTCAATTACAGTGCTAAATATAAATTTAATTTACCAAAGCTAAATCTGATATTTATGGTTGAAGATATTTCGTTGTTATCATAAAGATTTTCAGTATTTTTGTTTCAAGTGAACTAAACATTCGATTGAGTGATCTTTTTAAATGTCCGTTCAATGTGAAAACATTTTACTTCATAGACTAACACAAGTTAGAATATCTTTGAAATTCGAAGAGAACATATTACCCGGTTCTTTCTTATTTGAAGTTATCTGATAGTGTTTATTCATGAATCTACCACGGATAGAATTTGTCGACCTAACATTAAACTGGAAAAATGATAGCTTCAATACCCTAAATTTTCGATGTTATTTTACTAGTGATGAAGCTTGAATATTATGTAGGTTTCATTACCAAGTTTTGATTTGATAATTTTGAATAAATTGAGCATTGGGTAGAATGTTATAAATAAATAATATATTTGTAATATTCCAATTAGTAGAAAAATTAGATTTTCTGACGTTTCGTGACTCAGTATAAGCCACTACTTCAGAGAATAAAAACTGAGTCACGAAACGTCAGAAAATCTAATTTTTCTACTAATTGGAATATTACAAATATATTATTTATTTACTTGAATATTATGTCTATTTAATGGTTGAATTCATGAATCGATTTAGCTAGATAATCATGGAAAATCTGAATGTACTGAACGGACGTTTCTCCCCCGTGTGGAACTCTTCAGCAGTTTGCATACACGGTCCTGAATGAGGTAGTCGAACTCAGGGCCTTCAGTCCCGCGCGCGGACGCTTAACCACCGCTGGTATTCAACGGTGTTAATGTCTAGCTTCAACCAATCCACGACATTGCGCGACCGTCAGCCATTGTTTTACAATGAGTGACTGTCTCACAACAGACCTGGTTGAACTCCACTGGTTATGGCTTTTCACTAGAACTCCAGGAAATACATCTTGAAGATAGTCACTAGTGAGCAATTGATAATTATTTTCAAAATGACAGTTTGTAGAAATTGCATTCCGCTGTTATCTAATATTTAAAGTATAACTTAGTATTAAACACACTTATATATTTTTCAATCATCAGATATACTACCATTTGTATAACATTAATTTCCTACAGAATTTTATTATTAAATAGATTCTATTATACAGGTAATAATTATGTAAATTAAATAAAAATAATCCTTAATCACACTAATGATATAAAATTTAATCTATGAATTATAATATAACTAATTATCAATAAGAAAATTTTAACAGTTGAGATCATGAATCAATTGAAGCTAGACCACCATGGAAAACCTGGAAGCACTTGACGGTCATTTCGTCTTATTGTGGGACTCCTCAGCAGTGCGCATTCACGATCCCGCTTCGCAAGATTTGAACCCAGGACCTATCACTCTTGCGTACAAGCTTCAATTCATTCATGATGTCAACTGTTAAAATTACTATAATATCCACAAATCCCCTTCTGTTAATAAGAAAATTATTAATAATAATACAATAACGTACCATTTTTCATTGTTAAACATAAAACAATTAAGAATATACTAAAGTGTGATGATGTAATTATAGGATGCATCATAATTTATTTTTAATGTAGAGATTAATTTGTCAAAATTTATTTGATAAGCAGCTTTAAACTACATTAAATACTTTACAAATTGAAACCAATTACATAGACCAATAGATTAATGAATTGAATTCTTGTTTTTGTAAACTACCAACCAATCATTTTATAATTGACTTTTCAATTATTCTAATTAAACATGATGGCTTTTTATTTGTTTGAATGTATAAAATTAAATAAGAATTACATGATACATGATGACAATGATAAAATATTTTATAAGTAGTATCTGTCAATTCATCAACTTTTCTTTTTGTTATATCTAGAGCATTGATTCTTGGTATGCCGCGTTCTACTAGACTACTTGAACGATCGAACCCGCAACGTCGCAAGATAGAAGACAGAAGACTAATAAGTAGGAATTTTATTCCGCAAACAGTATCAAATATAGTACAAAAATCTCATGTATTTATAGTTTTTTTTTGGTTGAAAGTAAATCATCATTTCGGACAGCTAATAGTCACATAGGGGGTTATTCTTATTCATCCAATAGGGAAGCTAAAATGTTCCCGTAGTGGTGATTACATGAAATGTCTTCGGCTCTTTCTGGGCTTCTTGAGGCTTCCTTGAGTTTGCCAATGAGCCATCCCTACACTTTTTCTATTTACAAATGTATACTATCATTATTTCTTTTTGTTTCAAAATGATGTAATGCAGTGAAATGATAAGGACATTCAACACGTCTGATGATTCATATAGGGAATAATCATTGTAATTTAATGAATATCATTAATGTAGAATACTTATAATTAATAAATGTTTTAAACAGTTTTGTTGTCAGCATAAAACTAGATAACTTGCAAAAGGTTGTGTATATTTCGATTATTCTTCAATATCTCACAATAGATTAATGTGCAACTAGAAAGTAATGAGGCTGAGGACATCTAATGTATTGAAGAGTTACGAAGGACAACATTGTATTTGTAATTTACAAAACAAGAACTAATTTAACGGGTTACATTATATGCTTCTAGTTTCGGTTCCAAGTTAATCTTAATCTGAGGCTTGTGCTATTTCTGACTGTTGTATATTGCTTTCCTGAATAAATATAAGTGGATTGTGTGCTCTTGCTGAGTAGTTGACCTACTTTTTCTTTTGTTCTTCTCTTTTCTAAATCTCCTCACTCTGAATGCTCCCTAGTATACAAAGTACCTATCAATAATTTTCCGTAAACATAATGAATGGTAGACATTTGTTTGCAATATAATATTGATAAAAATATGTTCAATGGTTTATTCAACAGTGATACAAACGTATACAGTTAACAAATCGACGAATGGAAAGCCTATTAAACGACAATGGTCGAACTGATAATGAACATGAATATTCGGGGTGTTTTTAATAAATAATAAAACTGTCATGCCGTGACAAAGAAAACATCTTTAGTACCTTACGATGGAGTTTTGCGGGATCATATTTAAAAAATTAAGTTGGTTTGAAACTCTGCTCTGAACCATGAGGGATTTCTGCTGGTCCCAAGCGCTAGTAAAGAAGAGGATTTGTGTGTATAGTTAGCAACTCGATCTGGTAAAGTGTTTTTATCCACATCGATTATTAATTATGCTTGAAAAACAAACGAGGGATCACTGCGATTCCCACAACGAAATGTAAGAACACCAAGACTGGTAAAAAAGAAGATTTGTCAACGCAAAAACGCGAAGACAACCGCGGTCGAAAATATGCTCATTATTACACTGGGTAATCATCACATTGAATTAAAAACGGGAATAATGTTGACCGAAAATTGATTTCACCTTTTTGTCTCGTCATATCAAAATGGAGAACTTATTAAAGAAGGCTAACCAGTAAAAGCGGATGGATTTTTAAAATTTATCTGTCAGCCTGGAATGTTATTTTTCTGCCATAAAGTCTTATGAAAATAAAAATTTTTCTAGTCATGTTGATTTCGATTATTATAAAATCCAAACCTATGTATTTTCCAAACGTGCAAACTTTACTCTATGGTTTTCTTTGTTAGACACCATTGACTGAATAACTATGTATATTGATTGAATGTACTCATAAGTACTTAACAATTTGCTAACAATTTGCAGCACAACGAATTCCTATGAAATCCCAACTGAATCATTACGGGTGATGATATATATTTCTTTTTGTCTACCCCTTGAGGAGAATGAATGACGATACAATCCATACATCAAGTATATTTACACAATGAAAAAATTCTGTGATGGAAGCGAAATAGTGGAAAATGCTTATGAATACAACCGGCAACTAATCACCATGAAAATATCTAAAGATTTATATACTTTTAAAATATTCAAAGATAGACTGTATATTGAATGGGGAAAAGTTTATGATGTTCCATAGTTTATTTTTAAGAATTAATTTATTATATTCAAACATATCAGTCAGCTACAACGTAGGACCAGGCACATTTATGCATCGGTCCAAGTTGCCATACCTCGTTAGCACAACAAGATCAACACCGGATTCATAGAAGCAATTAATTTAGTGGTGGTAGTAGTATATAAATTATAGGTTGTATATAAGGATATAGTACAGGAAGGAGGAGAGATATGAAGCAATTTTAGTCTCAAGGTTTAAAGGAAGATAAAGAGTGTATACACCTACGCCATTGTGATCGATTCTGAGCCATGTCACCTAGAGTCTCCAACCATTGGTTACGATAGTCACGCGGACCCCAACCAGGTAGTCTGCATCTACCAACATGGCTCAGACTAGAAGTTAGTGACTTCAAACACTGATGCCATGTTTTGGTTTGGCCGCCCCTAACTCTCTTCCAACCATCCCCTACACTAGTCAGCATTGTGCGTCGTGGTAATCGATGTTCAGGCATACGTAACACGTGGCCCAACCATCTCAGTCGATGAAGATTCATCACCTCATCAACTGATTTACCATCGTTCCTTAATACCCTGCGTCTAACCTCACTATTACTTACCCGGTGATCCCAGCAGATGCGAGCAATATTTCTAAGGCATCTGTGGTCAAATACTAGTAACCTACGAGTATCTTCTACTCTTAATGGCCATGTTTCACAGCCGTAAAGTAGAACAGAGCGAACTGCCGCGCAGTATAATCGTCCCTTAATTGATAGACGGATATCTCGTCTTCGCCATAGGTGACGTAAGTTGGCAAAAGCCAAACGAACTTTTTGAATCCGTGCTGAGATTTCGTCAGAAACCAACCCATTAGGACTGATCAGACTTCCAAGATAAGTGAAGTTGTCGACGCGTTCGACTACTTCACTCCCAATCCTTAGTTCGGGTGTTGACGCAGGCCAGTCCTGGAGTAACAATTTACATTTGGATGGGGAGAATCGCATCCCAAACATTCTGGCATTATTACTGAGTTCCAACAGAAGACTCTGCATTTTGCCAGCGTCTTCACCAAACAGGACTATGTCATCTGCGTATTCTAAGTCGCTTAGTGGTCCCCCTGGTAGGAGATCAATTCCTGTAAATTCAGTCGACGAGAGTGTTATTTCCAACAACAGGTCTATAATGAAGTTAAACAAAAATGGGGATAGTGGACAGCCTTGACGGACACCACTTGAGGTTGTAAAATCATATGACAGTTCACCATAAGCTCTCACTCGACTGGTGGTGTTCGAGTAAAGAGCCTTCACAAGGTTTATGTACTTCTGAGGTACACCTTTCAATGACAGACACTGCCACAGAACCTCTCGGTCTACAGAGTCAAATGCTGCTTTCAAGTCAAGAAAAACTATCATTGTCGGACGCCGATAAGCGTGTCTGTTCTCTAAAACTTGACGAATGGTGAATATGTGGTCGTTACAGCCACGACCAGGTCTGAAGCCAGCCTGATTTTCTCGTGTTTGCAGTTCACGAGTCTTAGTTAGGCGCCCGATAATTATTGAGGCTAGTATTTTAGATGCTATTCAAGCATATAGAACTGAGTGAAAAGCTTGTTGTTAATAATACAATCAATAAGCTCACCAATACCACCTTCAATTATAACTAATACATTTCTTTTATTTTAATATCTATCATAGTCATTACAACAATAAAGTGTTTACTAGTACTGATTGATCACTGGGTGGTGATCAATGTCCTTGTGGTGTCGGTTACTGATATCCCCATAAGTAGTATGGTGGAGAAGATTCGTAGCTCAGGTGGGTGATTTTGATGTTGGTTTGTTCTCTGAGCTGGTTGGTTTGGTCGTGACCAAATAAACATAAGTAGTAGATTACGATGGTCGGTCATTGAATGTATTTCAGTAGAAGATCGATAAGGAGAGAACGGGAACGGCACGCAAATGGTACAAAAATGCATGAACAATTATAATCGGAGACTATGGATGCATGTTTGCAGAAGAAACAGTCAAATTGATACAATTGATTGTTATATGCTTCTCATATTTTAATGAGATATTCTGTAACGTTGTGCTAAAATACAGTCGATTGTCCCCATTCGTGTTCTTGTACACTACATTATGTGTGTCAGGTCCTTCTTAGTGCAGATGGAATCCTATCAACCAGTACTACAGGAGATCAGTCGCGACCCGGATAGCTCAGTGGTAAGGTCACTGACTATGAAGCTGGGCGACATGATATCGATTCCGTCAGGAGGCATCAGTCCCCTCAAGATTACAGGTACACCTTACTGATGGGTGCCAAACAGCACGAAACCTGGGTCCACAGTCTCTCCTATTGACTACTTTTAACCACCATTTCAAGGTGTTTACTCCTTTTATACAACAGTATTATCTATATAATTGAAATCATAAATCATTAATATAGTTTATCAACAGAAAAGTTGACTAACACTAAGCTCTTATTCATAAAATTGAATCGTCTGTTTTCGTTCTATATAGATTCATTTCAATTTTTGATCATGTTTTGTCAAGTTTAGTTAACTCTATTTACACATGCACAGTACATTTTGATTAACACAAAAAAGTAGTAGCGATTCAGCTCATAGAATTTTGTAATTTTATTATCAATCTAAATATAACAGAATATAAACTTTTTTTTCTTTTTAAACGATAGTTACTACTTAATAAAGTTAACTATTTCACAATGTAAATACAACAATAATAAAGAAACATTGAAAGAAAAGAAAACAACTTCATCTTTAAGTTATCATAACTACTATATATTTCAATTAAACATAAATGACACATTCATGTTTCATTTTATGAAATGATCATTGATGATTTGACTTATGTTCAACCAACCGATGATTATTGTCAATGTTCAAATATAATGAAGAAAATAAAGAAAGAAGAGCGGTTTTATGAAAGATATACTTTCTTTCGGAAAATTAATGACAGTTGACCTGTTTATTATATATAATTCAATTCTACCTAGACAAAAAAATAATTTTACTTATCTAGTAATTTATATGATCAATTTTCAAACAAGAAAAAAGAAAGAGTAATCTAATTTGTTGAACAAAGACAAAGATTCAATGAAAATTTTCGAAGGTTTAACTTGATAATGAAAATTACGTTGATATACTGTAGTGAATGAGAACACGAGTGGGGACAATCAAGACCGGAGTATAGCAGCATCTCACTCGTATCAAGCCATTGCTGTCCAACTTGGGTCAAATGGGTTTGGATGACTGTGAATACTGTCAAGTAATATTATGGTAATCAAGAACACTAGTGAGGACAATCGAATGCATTCAGTCACGAAATTACAGAATATCTCATTAAAATCTGACAACCATACAGTAAACAGTTAATTTGCAGACTATCAATCAATAGTCTCAATCTTGACTGTTCCTTCTGCAAATATCAGTCCATATTCTCCGATTATGATTGTTCATGTATTTTCATGCCAATTGCATTTCGTTTCCGTTCTTTCCTTATCGATCTTCTATTGAAATGCATTCAATGCCCGACCACCATAATATACTGCTTATGTGGATATCAGTAACCCACACCACAATACCACTAATCAAAATCATTTGAATATTTATATTGAATACAAGTAGTAAATCAGAGTCAATGTTGAAAAAAATAATTTGGTCATTGACATAATTGTAAAATACATAATATTTAAGATTGTTTGTTGTTTCATATTTTTCAAACATTAAAACTTGGTTATTAGTCATATTTCATTTTAGCACGTTACATTACTTACTTCATTAACATTAATGTTTACAGCTTCATCGTTCTAAAACTAATATGAGTTAAGATGCCCCTGATCACCCTAACAATACCTCAAACCAGGATACTATGGCTCTCTTCTCTCTTAGTCCCAACTCCAAAACACAAATCTTGTAAGGAACGTGAATTTGGTAAAAACCCTAGAAGAGTTCAAGTTGCATCTTCTTTTCGATAGATCTTTCACTTAAGATGTACATTTGTATTTATAAGTGTTTGGATGTCCTATCCACTTCCAACGTCTTTTCCTAATTTCCTCTTCAGCTGGAAGCTGGTTTGTCCTCTCCCATAAAACGCTGTTGCTGATAGTATCCGGCCAGTGGATGTTGAGTATTTTGCGTAGACAACTGTTTATAAATACTTGTGCCTTCTTGACGATGGATTTAGTTCTCCACGTTTCAACTCTGTACAGTAGGACTGCCTTGACGTTCGTATTGAAGATTCTCACTTTGAAGTTAGTTGACAGTTGTTTTGAGTTCCATATGTTCTTCGATTGTAGAAATGCTGTTCTTGCTTTGCCGATCCTCGCCTTTACATCTGCACCAGATCTTCCTTGTTTATCAACGAAGCTTCCCACATACGTGAATGTTTCCTTCTCTTCCAAATTTTGTTCGTGAATCATCGAAATTTTGCAATATAATGTTGAATTTGTGTCAATACTGCTAATAATAATTGCAATATGACTGACAAAATATTGTAACCTGAAAACTGGACTATCTTTTGGTACAAGGAAACAAAGACAACTTCCTATAATTAAGAGTAAGAAAAAACCCATTCGATTTATGAATAAATGGAAATATCATGATTGTTCTTCATAAATAGTGTAAATTTTCGTCAATGCAATAGATTTTTTTTCAAAAAAGCTGGACGTATTATGAATAAATTACGTGTCCTACAAACATACCATACATTATTAGTACCTATGTCTTAAATGCTGGTTTAAGAGTAATTTAGAAATCACGAGTTATTGTGGTGTATACCAATAAAAATACATTTGTATCAGTATAGGGAGTCATACGAGCATTCTGTAGTATTTTCATACATTATATTGCTAGCATAACACTTCTAGATGGGTTAAATGTGTGTATTCTAAACTTCCAGGAGATAATGAAATGCCTTTTTTTCCCTTAAACTTAAAATGAAACTATTAAAGTTTTATAACCCGTGCCTTTTAAACTAACTCATGTAAGTACACTTTTTCCAAGTGCATTAAGTAATGATGTTTCTCTGGATCAAACCAGAGACACTTGGTTGTTTCATGAGCTGTTTTTATCATTCTTATACAAACAAATATACAGCTTGTTGTAGAATGAGCAATCTAATGAAAGACTTATTAAAGGTTTGTTACCATAGTAAAGTGGTGTTACACAATCCACCTATTGTTTGGTATACGTCATACATGTATTGTTTAAACAATTACCAATATAGAACACCAGTTAAATTATTGGGATAAACTCATTATTTTAAAGCACATGTTGATGTTGATCAGAAGAACAAGAAGTTTCACAACTAAGCTATCTGATTCAGAGAACACAACACCTCCGAAATTCTCATTGAGCTAAAAATAGTCTATCGTCTCATTAAGAGCTGACGTTATTCGAGTAACTGTAAAACTTTGAGAGACACTTTTCAGCTGATTCACTTATTAATAATGTTCAAACAGGAGAACCACACGGAGATGAATACCGAGTCACAAGGTATAACAGGAACTATGGTACTTTAGACACCATAATCGGAATCTGTTCAGTAATTTTTTTTCAATTTCAGCCAATTTACGGTATGAAGCAATTTTTATTCAGCACCGTATCAGTAAACTAACTCTTTGTTCTCAACTTCTTAGACTCTACTTGGTAACAACTTCATAGTAGTAGTTTGGGGAATTAATTTTGGTGTTAGTTGATAGTGACCACAAAATCATCACCTACATTGCCAAATCTATATTACGTTAAAATAGAACAAATGTACTTAGTTTAGTAGCAAATTTATTCACTGTTGATTATTCACACAGATAATACATATATTTACCATAAGGAGTTTTGTGGAGACTTCAGTATTTTCATAGTTGAAATCATGATGATACGGCCGTTTCGTCGGTGCTTCCAGGGTTTCCATGGTGGTCTAGCTTCAATTGACTCATGATTTCAACTATTTATCACCAAAAATGTGGATAGGTTATGCGGTCCATTACCGACTAGTTAAATTAGTAGTATTACTTTTCGCTAAAAAATGATAAGCTGATATTGTTACTAGCACTAGCTAGCAATATAAACACGCTATCAAAGCACTTTCCAATCGTCCACTCGAATAATACTCAATCTACGTAAATGTATCGACTAGCCGGATTAATTGAACACACCAGTACACGGTCAAACGATTAGTAAGAGGTGCTGATGAGCACAAGCTTTTGGTTGAGATTCGGCTCGATTTTTCGAAGAAAGCAGATATACGATAGTAGTCGAAAACCTGGCTTAAGCTTTTGAGGAACACATCGAAATGAATGAGGTTGTGCTAACACTTGGTGGAACAATCGTTTGGTGGTTAGGTCATTCAACCTCCAACCACTAAGCTCCAGCCTTACTACTTCGGTTTGATCAACTAGGTGGAATAACTACCTTTAACAATTGAAGCGTGGTTCATACCCACGTATATAGAAAATGAGTTAGTTTGAAAATCTTTACAGGTGATTCATTTAGCTAATAAAAGCTTCCTATTTACAATTAGTTCCCTCACTCGAATAGCAGATTGCTTTTGTACATAAGAAGCGTGTATATCAGCATCGAATTGCGACGAACACGCAATAAAATATGTACAAATGCATAGTTGTAAAACTTATGTACAACCAGTTTCCATAAGAGAGAAAGTCGATAAAACATTTGAAAACTAATTGATTTGCTATCCTAGCCATAGAACGTTAGCGTTTCATATTGGACGACAGAATTAAGATTCAACATCAGGGAATATAATTGAACTTGAATTAAATTCATTGTTTCATTCAACGAACCTTTAGAAGGAAATATAATCAAACATCAAAATTATCGAATCAACTAAATGTATCACGTAAAGATTTGTCAATATTTTACGTATCACCATTAATATCCAACAACAATATGTTCGAACATTAAATTTAAATGAAATGAAGACTAAGTAGACTGCATGCTAAAATCTGTACATACATCATCTAAAGACTACCATTAATGAAGAGTTGCAAACAGATACAATTCATCAGATTATGTCATCGTAGTGAGAAACTAACAGATTTCATTTGCTGAAGTGAGTATTTGAAAAGAAACAGTGTGATTATCCCAAAGCACTGACAAAAATTAGAGTCAAATATATATGGAAATAGTTTATTTTTCTAATTGTATTAAATGAATACGAATGGGAAGTAAGAACAAACAAACAGTTTGAATGAATAATGGATGGGAAAAAAACGAAGCATCAAGTAATTGTGTTGTGGTGGAAATTTGGTTAGCTTAGAAAAGGTTAAAAATGTAACGGTGTTTTACCATAGACTTTGGAGAATACAACTAAGGCCACCAAAATTAATTGCGTTGAAGAGCAAAAAACGAACTGAAAAAACAATTTTTTTTAAAAAAGAAAAGAGAGGACAAATTGGGCAGTATAAGAGAAAATTAGAAATTTGAATAAGCTTTTCAATTATTTGATGTATCCCAAGTGATTGTTTTAATATCCATAAATTCATGTAAAGCATTCGGTCCGCCTTCACGTCCAATCCCGGAGTTTTTCACTCCGCCAAATGGTAATTCAATAGTACTTACAAATCCTGTATTTAAACCAACCATTCCAACTTGTAATTCATCTGCAATTCGCCAAGCTTGATTAATATTCTCTGTGTAAATGTAACCACCTAAACCGTATGGTGTTGCATTGGCTAATTCAATCACTTCTTCCTCAGTTTTGAATCTGAATATTATGACGAAGAGAAAGAGAGATAAGTAAAAATGTAGTAGTCAGTAAATATACAAGTTCTAACAAAATATGTACTCAGTCGATAAACTAATTGGTCGTTCAATATGTCATATTGTCTGGTCCTTATTCGTATTCGAATGGAAAATTTGTCACTATGTTAAGTGATTCAACTAAGCGGTCGACATTTTTTGAAGATAAATATTCGAAGGCAAATGAAATAGAATCCCTGAAATTAAGTTTCCATGTTAGGCAGGACTGATCAGTAAGGCATAACTACAATACTGAAGACATGGAGGATCTCTTTAGAATTGGTTTTTACATCCCAGTGGAAATATAAATTCTCTTAAGATTGCATATTCATCCTTCTTGATTCGTTTTTTAAGTTGGCTGGTTGTTCATTCGAGAAAAGATGAGCTAAACAGCATAACACTTTTGATTTTCAACTCAACTTCATTTCTGAAACTTACCTCGCTTGTTTTGACGCGTATTGCAGAGTGTTAGTCAGTCAGTCACAACATCGAACCTAGGTATCTAGATCGGTTCAAGTCGCCATACCCATTAGCAAAGAGAGATGAAATTGTCAGGCCAAATCCAAGAATAGTAGAGGTAGTAACAGTATTAGTGGTAATAGGAAAGATCAGGCACTGAAGATACGATTCAAGAGAATATAAATTAGAGAGATAAAAACAAAAAGAAAGCTAGGAGGAATGTAGAAACTCAAAATATGAGAGAAGACAAAGAATGGATGTAGCCATGTCATCGCAAACGATTTTGAGTTATATCATTTAAAGTCTCTAAACAGCCGGGCTCTAACCAGGTAGTCTACACCTATTAACATGGTTTAGTCCAGTTGTCAATGTCTTTACGGACTAATGTCATGTTTTGGTTTGGCCACCCCTAGCTTTCTTCCCTCATACTCCTACGCTGCATAACATCGCCCGTTGAAGTAGGCGACAGTGATTGGGCATATGTAACACATGTCCCAATTACCCCAGTTGATGAACATTTGTCACGTCATTAGTCGACAAGTTATTCAACTTTTACCGAGGGGTAACAAAAGAGTATATTAGAAACAAATTCTAGAAGTGGTCAAATTAGCATATATATATCAACGACAGGTAAAGCTACTTATAGTTCAGATGAACCATATTGATAAATTTGAACACCCAGGTTTGAGACCGTATAAAAATCATCATCAGTGATCGGAGTCATTAGATGACACATGGCTTAAGATCGGTAGCGTGACATCAGTTTCGCTCTTACACTAGAATTTCATCACTTCATACATTTCATGCCTTGCAGTTTTATCCTCTCTGATCAAATGGTAGTTTATAAGAAGTTTTATTCGTTTACTTTTGTTTTTGCATCATTAACCTTGTTAATTTCACATCATGATGTTGCAATTTCAGCTGATACACATTTATACCCGGTTTTATGGTTGTTTATAACTGGCAAAAGGAATTAACTTTAAAGACATCTTAAACTCTAAAACACAAAGGTAAAACGTATACAAACAAGGAAATGAAAGAAAATTATACTTTTTAAAAAAAATTAAAGTTTATATATCATGATACACACCTGCAAACTGAAGCAACAGGACCGAAAACCTCTTCTTCCATACATGCCATTTTTGTATGACAATTCGACAGAACAGTTGCCGGATAAAAATAACCATTGGAGTAATCAAATCCAAATGAACTTTTACCCTTTAATCTACTATGACCACCAATTAATGCATATGCGCCATGTTCTACAGATAGATTAACTAATTTTTCAATCTGAAAGAAAAACGATCAGATTGGAAATTATTACACTTTCATTAAATGTTCACAAATGTGAACATAAGTTACTTTGAAAAACTTCTGAAAACATAAAATTTTATTCTGTCTCTGTACTCAACCACCCCCTTCACTTTAATCTATGCCAACTCAAGTCACCACAGTTCATAATACTGACATGATGAAAAGAAATCAACCAGAGAATGGCAAAAATAATATAATACCAACTATAATAGATAATGATGAAAATTCTTTTCTCAAAGTAGCAAACGAATTGGGAAAAAAGATGGCATGAATGTAAAATATGGGATCTTAGAAAGCTGGAAATATAAAGGACGATAAACAATTAGAATACACATATGTGATTTTTCTTCTACTTCTATCGTTATGCAGATTATTTATAATCCTTTGACACATGATCTCATAATTCTCAGTAATATTAAACCAGAGAACAATATAGATACATTTTTTGTATTTTCAAATGTGAAAGACATTTTCCTTTGCTAGCCATCTTATTTTTTGTACATGGGAAAAAGCAATGAAACAGTGAGAATTCGAACCTATGAACAAGCTGTAAAAAGAAACAAATTATGTCATTACTTTGAAGTGATTTATTTTATAAAAAGAAAACTATTGAAAGTCATTGCAGATAACAGTAAACGACTCTTTATGACTTCTAGGACATAGTTGAAGACTGTACACTGTATCATGATAACTTTATCAGTATACATCACAGAAAGAGACCATTTTTTTACATTGATTATTACTATTCTGTGTAGAGGTTTCTACTTCTGTCTACGACTTTTGTCAGAAACTAATATTTGCAGACACTGCATTTGGGAATGTGAACCACTGGGTTCTATCTCAGTGATTCAATGGTGTTTTGCTCACCATGAGACTTGAAGGTCCTGTGTTTGATACCATTTGGAATTATGGGTGTGCACTGTTGCGAAATCCCACATTGATGAAACATCTGTTCAGTACTAAACCTTCCTTGATTTGTAATGGTTCCCCACACTTATTATCGCTTTGTGCCCCCAAATGCCCTGGTACGGCCGAGAGTGGGGAGAATCCGCTCTCCCTCTCGCAATGCTCTCATATGACCAGCGAATATATAGCCTCTGCCAGGGAAGTCCTACTCACTGCCTTCTCGTCGCGCGGGTGTTGTTTACGAAAAGCGAATGTCCGGCGCTTTAACCGGGTTGGTGGACAAGGCGAGTCCACCTAGGGGAGTTGGAAAACCCTGATTCCAAACCAATCGTGCACATGGGCTCCAGTATACTGAAGGAACAAATGGTGTATGAATCACTTGTTGGTCACCGGCTACCATGGGACTGCATCTCCTCACGATGCTCCACTGCCTTGTGGATCAGACCTTTAGGTCAAAGTCTCCGTGTGTGACCCCTTAAGAAAACCACTTGCTTCAGTTTGGGCACCTGGGCAGTATCACAGCCCTCACACAAATCAAATGATATTTGTGCGGCGCATATGTATCTGGTGCTTCCTTGTACCAATATTTATGTGTTTAAATAAAATAAAATAAAATAACCATCTAATAGTATATAATAATAATAATGATAATAATAATAATATGGAAAACATATCGAAAGAATTCGGATAACTTAAATTTGGAAATGATGGATCTACATAAAACTGTTCTATTGTTCCATATAGCTCGTTAATAATAAAGGCTTGGCACATGGGTGTGATACTTGAACAGTAATCTAAAAAATAAATTTTACAATATTCAGACATTCAAATAAGCAGTCTGAACAATTTGGCCGGTAAGCTAATTTGATTGCAAAATTAAGTAGTCGAAGTACTAATGAGCAATAAGTGAGAACAATAACAAGTTTCAAATGTTCTACAGAAAAAGAAGGCGTACAAGTGAAGTATGAAGATGATAATATAAAAAAGTAACTAATGACTTGAAAACGAAACATGGAAATTCGTTATACCTTAGTTAAAGCTTTTTCGTTGATAACTGGGCCTAAGTTGATATTTGGATCAGCACCGTTACCCATGTGAAGACGACAAACAGCCTCAGTTAGTTTGCTAATAAATACATCATGTATTTCATCATGAACAAAAATACGATTTGCTGATATACAAGTCTAGAAAACAGGAAAAAATATAGGAAATAAAAAACACCCCGATGATTAAATCTGATGAAAATATGATAATATACTAATGACCAGCAGTTTACATTACAAAAACATCTAGATTGTAGAACAATCTGACTAACACTAGTAATACATTAATCACACTAAAGTAATTCATAATATATGTAACATGCAACAAGGGTGTACAACATCCACTAAAAAATACATTGTAATCGCTACAAAATGAATGAAATAAAATCCAACCAACAGTAAAGTATCTGATAAAGTCTAGGTGATAGCAGTTGTAAAGCAATCAATTCACTGAATTGTTTCCGTAGTCATTGCACGAAAAGTAAATCGCTATGATTACTTAGTATCAGAATCGCTACTGGTAAATGATATAATATCTACGGAGTGCTTGATTTTATGCATACACGTCTGATTTAAGTTCTTTTGTGTTGACCAGGTGCAATTTCAGTATATTCCATCATGTGTATATTCTTTATTCTGTATCTGAAAAGTATTTTTCACAACCCAATCATTTTTACCTCTTAACGTGAATACAATATACTAAAGTTATAACATGTAAGCCAAGTAACAGGTTATGCATTTAATTATTACTTATTAAACATCTCACAAAGAAATGGCGCTTATTGGGAAGTCTTCACGGATAATTCATCCTGGGGATGTCCCGTTGTCATCGTTTTCAAGTTTAAAGCTTTAGTCTTAAAGCAGATTCACAGAAAAATTAATAGTTGGACTGCCAATAAAGGTCAGGAAGTACTAGATAGCTGTTTCATCTTAGTATAGAACACCTTAGTAGTGCGAGCCCATAAACCCACCAGGGATCTAGTCCAGGACCTTCGGATTTCAGAACAAACGCTTAACCATTAGAACCACTATGTCGGCATCTAGTAGTACAACTCTAACCTTCAATGATATTGTAACTGAGATCAATTTGTAACAAATACAACCTAAAAGTTAAATTAATCCATATCAAACCCCTCCAACTAAAATATATGACAACAAATTGTTCCTTGAAACTAGGAGATTTAAATAAGTCAACGAAACAACAAGTGTCCTATTTCATGACACATAATACGAATTAGGTATCGAAAGGACGAACTGAATTGAATACATAAAACCTAATTTCAGTATGTAATCAAAAATGAAATGTGATGTACATTGTAGACTGTAAAACTAATACTCACTTGTCCAGAACAACGAAATTTACATCCTAATGCACCAGCGACAGCTTTCTCAATATTTGCAGAATCAAAAACAATAAACGGAGCATTACCGCCCATTTCCAAAAGAACACGTTTACCATAATTAGCAGCTTTGGTATATAACATCTGGTAATAAATAGAGTTAAACAACAGAAAATAATAAAAAATAACTCGACAAAATGAGCACAGAAAAAGCAACAACAACACCAAACATATGTGTGAGAAGTACCCAGATACACTATGTAGTGATGAATTGAAGAACAGCGTGTCTTATTTGATTTATTTATGACATAATTTTAGTGTTTGGTCCAAAAGATCACTAAGAAATACAAAATACGATATTATATGACATCAATGTATAGAAATTAATCGTTTTGAAGAAAATACATACTAACAGAGATACAATTCAGACAGGAGTATAATCAAGGTGCATTATGTTAAATTAGAAGACGCATCATATAGTCTAACAACAAGTGCAACAAGAAGATTAGAACAACTGCTTGTAAATCCTAGGTTAATCATTAAAAGCCCCTCGCCTATCAACGCTAACTAGAGTTGTCAAGACCCAACGGAGGCTAAACCAATCTAACTAACCTTCATTACACAGAATCATTTCATAAATTGATTTTTTAACCTCATTGCAACATCAGCAGAAAATACACACATGAAAGCTGCTAGGACAACATGGAAGAAATATATCTAAATAATTAAAACAAATAAATATCCTCATGGAGATTGAGCACATGATTCTAGGTCTCAATACTACTTATATCGGTGTTACTGAATCCAAGTGGTCCTTTGGAAACAGTAACATTGAAGAACAGGGTCGCTGAACATCTTAAGAAAGATCAGATTTTACAAGAGAGGAACAGTTAACAAATGAAACTGTGCTTGAAAAGCTTTAAAACATCGTGAAAATACATACTTAAAGGCTGAAACCTGGCATTTATCATTCTTGCGCATATTCCGGTAATAACATCTGTCTACGGAACTGAGCGTAGTTAAATACCTTAGATTGTTTAGGCAGTAGGCTGGGTTTATTTTAAAAGTATCTGTTAGGTTTGAAGCGATTACGAGTTCATCTAGTCTGCGGACGGAACGAGAACCTGTGACCAAAAACCAATAAGCTATATATTTTGAAGCGTCCGAGATCCGCTAACTAGAGTAAGAAGTCCAAGTTGGAAGTGGAGAAGACATATTCCGTAAGTAGCACAAGCAATCACAACAGGTACAAATCAAACGTATGTATATAGCATAAAATTGTCCTTGGGAAGCGTTACAAAATAGCATACTAAAAGACACAACGGACGAACAGCGTTTAAGATTTTCCAAAGTGGCTGTATACGCGTGGTCGTGTGAAAGTATTTTGAGAGGGAGAGCTGACTCTCCTCACCCTCGGCCGTATCAGGGCATTCAGGGACCATGGTCATGCGCATACAACCACTGCCGCGGAAGCCCTACTCACTGCCTTGTCGCGGCGGAGGTGTTGTTTACGAAATTAAGAGGACGAAAAGCGAATTTCCGACGCCTTAACTGGGTTGGTGGACATGAAGAGTCCACCTAGAAGGGTTGGAAAACCCTGATTCCAAACCGATAGTGCACATGAGCTCCAGGATCCTGAAGGAACAAATGGCATAATAACCTATAGTTGGTCACCTTTTACCATGGGACTGCATCTCCTAAAGTTTCTCCACTGCCCTGTGGATTAGACCTGTAGGTCAAAGTCTCCGGATGTGGCCCCCTAAGGAAACTATCTACCTTAGTTTGGGCACTCGGACAGAACCACAGCCTACACACAAATCAAATGACAATTTCTACTGGAAATATTATTCTTGATTCAATTAGCATTCAGAAAAATCATATCGACAATCATTTGATAACATCCATTTTTATTTTTTTTATATACCGTGTCACTTATCTACTCCCTTCTATTCTCACTTTAAGTATTCTTGTTTTTCAACTTACACAGGTCACCTATGGTGGAAACCCTCTTTTGTGTGGTGCATATGTATTTGGTGCCCGTTTTTACCTATATTTATGTGTTCAAATAAATAAATAAATAAATAAAAGAATAAAATCTTGTGTAGTAGTAGGTTTCAAAAGAGCGAAGAGAAGACAAACCAACACATGGCACCAGTCTATGAAGTCATTGACTGTTGGACTGATGGATATAGATGGGTGCAGATTATCTGATTGGGGTCCGTGTGACTATCGTAACCAATTGTTAGAGACTGTGTGATAGCTTAAAATCGTCCACAGTAGTGCAGGTACATTAACTCTCCATTTTTCCTTAGTTTTTGAAACCCAGAATCTCCCACCTTTTTGTTTTCCGTTTTTCAATACTTAATATTCTCTACTAGTACTGTTACTACTTCTGGTACTCTGGGATTCGACCTGATAATTTTATTTTGCCGAGTTAATGTGATGTAGCGATTTAAACTGACCCATGTATGTGTCGGATTCTACGTTGCATACGACTGAGTGATTAAAAAATAAGACACTTTCAAAATAAATTGAGCAGAAAGTAAAATGATTATAATAACAAAATGATGATGCGTTTAAAATATCCCAACGAGTGGAAAATTGAATTCATATCATTACGCAACTTAGTGCAAGTGTATTAAAATACTATTTTATTTTTACAAAGTGTTTTTATGCAAACTGATCACAGGAATACCGAAATAATAATTAGACTTACCGTTCCTACTTTTGTAGATCCGGTAAATCCTATTAAACGAACAATGGGATGAGTACATAATACATTTCCAATTTCTTCTGCTCCATTGTCATCAACTGAAGCTGTGATTACATTCAAAACACCTGGAGGTATCCCTGCTTTTTCAACACCGAGATAAGTAACAGCCAATGATGTTAATGGAGTATCTTCAGCTGGTTTAATAATTGCAGAGCATCCTGAAGCTAAAGCAGCACCAACTTTTCGTGTTACCATAGAAAGTGGAAAATTCCACTATGTTTAAGTATATAAAAATACATTAACATTTTCAACTTATTAGTAAACATATAAATCACTATGATTCACTTTCCTTTTGTAGTCAGTTAATTATGAAGTGATTTTTCTAAATATTTACTTATTTTGAATGTAGCACAGCTCTTTTTTTCTCAAACGTATAAGAGTATTTCACTTTGTGGGTAAGCGAAATCATCGAAAATATTGAGAGAATAATGGAACGATAAAACTTAGTTTATAATAAGCATAATCGATTTCAAGGCATTAAAATTAGCTGTAATTTGTAGAAGAAAAAGATAAAATGTCGGTAACTGGTAATAAAAAAAGAAAAGGCGAAAAGTATGAGTAGCTGCCAATTATCAGATATGATAAATAAATCCTGTAAACAATTGTATCAACGAAAACATGTTGGATAAATAAGTCACTTAACTCCATTATTTTATTCAATGACTACATTCAACTGGTTTTAGGATTTATAAGCACATCCGGCATTTTACGGCTTCCTAATATTAGGTGAAGATATGTTTACTAATCTGTTACTTGGTTAAACTATAGTAAAGACTGCAGTTTATGTGTTGGAGAACTTCATTAATAGTTTATGGATTTGAATTACGATCTAGGCAACTAGGTAGCGTCACTAACTCTAATACGAAAGTGTTACTTAAAGTGTAGTAACCAGCATAATAAAAAACGAAATTTAAAATGAAAAGAGTTAACTGGAAAATTTTAAAGTAACCAAAATTAGTTTACAGTCGAATTTTCCAATTAACATAAACAATGCAATTGAATAAATCTAAAAAATTTCTAGATTTGCTAAAATTATAATTATTGACTAAAAAAATTGAAAGCAGGAAGTATCAGAAGTAATATGAATTACTCTGAATATCATAAAGCCCTACTAGTTAGTTTGTGCGACTTTCAATCACTAGATTCTAGGTTAATGAACCATCCTATCTATTTCCACTTGGATTTCTATTCGGATAGTATCACTATCCCTCACGCTTAAAAAAGTGGTTTGAAGCTGAGTACATAACCTGCATTCGGTAATTGAGTTATATGTCGGTGAGTATAGAGGTATTAAGGCTTTTGTTAGGAAGCAGAAACGTGGTTAAGACATTTCTATGTGTGGAATTAGTCTAAAGTAGAAAAGTTTATATATTAATACTACATGTATACGAATATTCTTCAATATTAGAACGAATTTTTCGACAGAAATATGGTGCCGAGTATAGAGAGGACATTATATGTGAAAATTATATTTGAAATAACTCTACATGTTCTACACGAGCTTCGTATAAAAATGTGAATAAAATGTGTTATTACTAATTCACACAAACAACTAAGATTAGGAAAGTAAATCAATACAACAAAAAGGAAGCATGATCTAATTACCGGAGTAATTACACCAACAACGCCAATCGGTTGTTGGGCAACTAGCTGACGCCGTGAATGAGAGCTTAGTGATGGAATATAAAGACCAAAAACACGTTTAGCTTCCTCAGCATACCATTCCAAAGCGGAAACACCTGCTAGAACTTCATTACGTGCATCGAATGACGATTTTCCCTGAAAAATAAAAATAAAACAATTTATTGATTTTTATAGTCAACACTGTGGAATTTATTTATTTATTTAGTCACATATATATTGGTACGAAGGGCACCGGATACATATGCGTCACACAAAATAATGAGAATGGGAGGAGAAGGAAGATGTGTATATATAAAAGAAGGAAAAAAAAGAAAAGGAGAAGAGTAATGATGGGGGGAACTGAAATGTACAACCAGAAGAGCTCTCTCAGTTAGGAAAGTTATAGCCACTCTTTATGAAGAAAGTAAAAGAAGGTTACAGCAGGTTCGCCATTGGCTTCTATTCTGAGCCATATCTGATGTCTCTAGCCACTGTGTTGCACCATCTCTCGGACCCCAGCCAGGGAGTCGTGAAGGACCAACAGAAGCTAGCCCTTTGCAGCTTTCTTTAATACCGCGACACCATGTCATACACTGACCTCCTCTCTGCTGTTTGCAACTACTCCCAGAGTCGGCAAATAATGCACGACGTGGGAGTCTCTGGGACGACGTTCGTAAAACATGTCCAAGTCACCGAAGTCGGTGTTTCAAGATGGTGACACCAATTGAATCATCGTCTCTTCGCCCGAACACACGATGCCGAACCTCTGCATTACCAACATGGTGTTGCCACTGGATGTCAGCAATCCTTCGGAGACAACGATGATCGAACACAGAGAGTCGTCTAACATCCTCAACTCAGAAAGGCCAGGTTTCACAAGCATAGAGCAAAACTGCTCTCACCGACGCGTTGTAGATCCGACCTTTTACAGCCAGATTAACATCACGAAGGCGCCAAAGATGGCCCAGATTGGCATAAGCCGCTCTGGTTTTCATTATACGTGCATCGATCTCATCACTCACGCCATCATCAGCACTTATGTAGCTACCTAGATACACGAACTTCTCAACTACTTCAATCTGCTCACCATCCAGGGTGAGTGCAGGATGAAAATCCTGCCAGTCTTGTAAGAGTACTTTGCACTTGGAGGGTGCAAAGCACATGCCGTACCTGAGGACACTGATTGCCAACTGATTAAGTGCAGATTGCATGCTTTGGGCATTATCGCACAGCAAGACAATATCATCCGCATACTCGAGGTCGAGAAGTCGTTCTCCAGGTAGCAGATCTACACCGCCATTACTTACATCCATCAGAGCTGTCTCCAGGATGTCATCGATGGCAAAGTTGAAGAGGAATGGTGAGATCGGGCAACCCTGCCTAACCCCACTGCTTGAATGGAACAAGGGAGAAAGGTGGTTGTATGCCCTCACTCTGCCTGAAATGTTTGTATACAGGGCCTTTAAGATGTTAATGAACTTCTCAGGCATACCCTTCTTCAATAGACAATCCCAGAGAACAGTCGTGTCCAACGAATCGAAGGCAGCCCTGATATCAAGAAACACTACGATTGTTGGCCTGTGATAAGTATGACGATGTTCTAACATTTGGCGAAAAGTGAAGATATGATCAATACATTTTCGACCAGAACGAAAACCAGCCTGCTCCTGGCGAGTCAATCGTTCTCGGGTTTCAAACAACCTACGAAGAATGATAGAAGCCAATAGTTTTGTTAAACAACCATTGGGAACTAATAAGCACTGGAAAGTTGATTCATCTTAAAACAAGACTCAGTAATGAGTATCTACAATTTCACCATGGATAGAGTTAAGGACAGTTATAACCCACGGCGATCAAGCAATTAACAAAATCGCCGTGAAATCTGAAGGTTCTGGGTCTGACAATCAGTGGGGTTGTGGATGCGCAGTGCCGAGGAGTCTAATACTAACATGAAACAGGTGTCGACTGCTTCCTGGATTTCAATTAAGATTAGATGCCAACCATAAAACTTAAAAACCTCGGTAAACTTCATACACAATCCATTTCTCACCAAAAACCCAAAGGTCTTGAACTCAGACCCTCAATAAAGATCGTTAAGCAAGTACTGGTGAAGGATAGAGAATAATGATGAAATAGCTGATCACTAGCAATATGATATCTAATGGTTTTCCAGATGATAGTTGTGCTTGATGAAAACTGCGTTCAAATTAGACAAAGAACTAATCATTTATCTAAACAAACGTCATGTCTTTCTGAATTTTAAGATTTAACAGGAAACGTGGTTGTAAATTGTAATGATAGAGACAGGGAACAAATTCTCAGTATTAATGTGTTTAGAAATATATAAACATACATAACGGAATATCTCACATTTTCAGCTACAATAAGATCCGTCAATGAGTCAACATTCTGTCGAATGGTATCTGCCCATTTACGTATAATTGACGATCGTTCCCCCGGTGTTTTCGATCTCCATTCTTTTTGGCTGACAGAAGCTACATTGACGCTAATTTCACATTCATTCTTTGAGCAAGCTGGAACTGAACCTAAGTGTTCACCTGTAGCCGGATTCACAACTGTAATAAATAAATATTTACGTATATATATATATATATATATATATATATATATATATATATATATATATATATATATATAACTAGGTAGGGTGACAGATGAGAACAATGCTTTATTTATAGTAATGTCCCAAAAATCATGCCAACTCCCATTAACCTGGTACTATGGTGAGAACCAGTTGGATAAAACAATCGTTTAACCTACACAGCTTACTTTCTAATACTCTTCTGAACAACTTTAGTTGAAGGTTATTACTTACGGGATTTTATGAGCTATTTCCAATAATCGCCTAACCAACCTTAATGTATCCAACGTGAGAAATTATTAGTTATGTACTGAGAATTATTGACCGTTAACTGATGAGAGCTATAACCACAAAGAATGATTATATTCAATAGTTCATATCCCTAAGGGCTACAAAGAAAAATTACAGACAATTGAATTTAGAATGTGTAACAGGTAAAATAACAGACCGAATATCCATTAAATACGAGTTGGCAAAAGAATAACTGAATTCTTAGAAGCTTAGACTGTGCGAACACCATTAGACTAGAAAATATATAGTAATTCAGTTTAGCTACACTAAGTAAAAGCTTAATATTAGTATTCTGTAAATTATACAACTCTCTTCCCCCTCTCACAGTACAAAATCACAATAAATAAAAGTCAAAAACGATGAAGGCAGAAGTAAAACCAGCTAACAAAAAATATTGTAGCACAGTGGAGGTTAGCATGGCTCCATATTTGAAACCACTACTAATTAACTTAGTTGAAGAAGTTTTACGGAAATTGACCGTTTTTAGAATGTATTAGTCATAGATAGATATCCTTAGTTGACGTATTTTGAAAACTTAATGAGCACTGGATAGCTATTTTGTCTTAATATGGGATACTTCAGCAGTGTGTGTCAACAACCCCACTAGGGGTCAAGACCAACACCTCTAGATCTCTTAGCGAAAACTTAACTGTTAGAAATACTAGGTCCAATAATTAAAGACAAATGTTGTTAACCGTTCGTTCAAACACAACAGTCAGTCAGTGAATCAGTTAAAACGTAGAACTTCGTACGTACGTACATCAGTTCGAGTTGCCATACCACCAAATATTATAGACTATAACTAAAGTTCTAGTACTGAACTAATTTCAAGTTTCTTTGTTTAAAAGAATTTCGTTGAGTGGGAACAAAATCCCATGAGACATTATAATATTACAGTGGCCTAGAGAGATAACTTTTAAAAACCAACCCTAGCAAAGTTATGTACTAAGATAAGATTATCTAATCCGGGATGATAGATAAGCACAACTTCAACGGAAATCTAAATTTTATTTGAGGAAATCTATTAAAAATAAACAAACCCGAAAACGTTTTCCCAGACAAGGAAGGTTCCCATCTCCCCGAATAGAACGCTTTGTTTTCTGGAACTAAATGGCCCCAAGATGTTGATCCCATCAGACTACATGATAAGCTTATTTGTGCGCTGGGAATACGTAATCCATTTGATTTCGCGAGCCACCATTTTTGCACACACTAACACAGGAAGAAAATAAAATTACATGTCGTTCTATCGATATTGAAACTGGATAACGAAATGCAGGTACATGTACTAAATTCTTAGCCATGTTTTTGCATGAAGACACGTTATTCTGATTGGTTACTGAAACTGTAGCAGTCAAAATGTGAGTCGAATTTAATGCATTACACACTAAGCCGATACAACTAACTTATCGACAAAAATTGCAGCGATGTGATTAAAGCACAAGATTTTCGACTACTGGGCCTAATGGTTAAACTTTGCTCCACCGACTTTGAAATGGGAAGTCGGGAAATACTATGACGCCTGACGGGGAAAGTATAGCTCAGTCAGATACGTGAAATAGCACTTAATCACTAGGTCGTATCACATTACATCAATCCATTTTATTGCTATTCATGAATCACTCTAAGAATAATTGTAAGATCAGGTAGACAAGCTATGATTAAGGATAACTTCACGAAAAATTAGGTTTAGCTTCCAAAGAGACCAATAAAGACTCATGGCCAGTTTATTGGAAGAATGTAATCCCCGACCGTTGCTGCTACCTTGACGTGGTGGTCGGGCTTGCCTATCGTGATGAATCAACCGAGCTATACTGGCTGGAACAATCGTTCCTCGAGGTCCTACCATGCCAGGCAGGTCGTTTGAAGAGCGGTGAGACTAAAAGCAGCAAACACAAGGTCTGAAGGCGAAGTCGTACTGTTGACTGTACAGAGGTGTGACGGCAGTAAGGTGTTTCCTTCAGACAACCAGGAGGGGTGGGGTTAAAAAAGGTCGACCCTAAAAATGCACACCTCGCCTTATCCCACGGATTTCCGTCTCCGGCGGCAAGGTTCTTTGAAGAACGGAGCTAACACAAAAACTACCCACAAAAAGGTCGTGTGTGACCGACCTCAAGCAGTTGTCTTTTGGGGACTGCGGTCACGCTCTCAGGTCATTAAGACCACTTCTAACCCAATTTCCTTTTCAGGTACCCCTAGAAGAACCCTTCCACAGTGTGGGCAACCGGGAAGTGATAACTGCCCTCATACCTCTAACAGCACTCAAGACCACTGTATTCATTATCAATCTCCTTCTTCAATTCCTACTATTCCTTCTACCTTGACTTTCAACACTAAATTTCCTCTTTCGGTTTCCTCCTCAAGTGTCACCATGGCCAACGATTCTAGTGCGCGAAACGCTGTCCCAGGTCTGCTAAAACCTCGCTCCAAACTACACATTGGAGCCTTCAACGTACGTACCCTATGCCAAATCGGTCGACAGGCCTCCTTAGCTAAAACCCTAGAATCTCGTGACATTGATGTATGCTGTGTCTCGGAAACACGCATACAGGATCCTAGTGTGGTCATTCACTTGACCTCACCTCGCCAAAATGGACAGCCAACGAAAAACACCCTCCGTGTATCTGGCGACCCGTTGGCTAGTTCTCGTGGACTTGCAGGTGTAGGTATAGCACTAAGTGCAAGGGCAGAACAGGCACTATTAGAATGGATCCCCGTTAATAGTCGCCTGTGTGCTGTCCGGCTAAATGGCTCCGTAAGAACTCGGAAGGATAAGGACACACGTCGTTGCCTTTTCGTCGTTTCTGCCTACGCTCCCATTGACTGCAGCCATGATGAAGTGAAAGATGACTTTTACAGAAAGCTCTCTGAGCTTCTTCATAAAGCTAAGCGCTCATAGTGGTCGTAGCGGGTGACTTTAATGCCCAGGTAGGCAGCTTAAATCAAACAGAAAGACATTTGGGTGGGTGTTTTAGTATTCCGGCTCAACGAACCGATAACGGTGATCGTCTGTTGCAACTATGCTCAGACAATCGTTTATTTTTAGCAAGCACTAATTTTAAGCATAAGGAGAGACATCGTCTAACATGGCGACCACCTGCACCAAACCAACGATGGACTCAAATAGACCATATTGTCATCAGTCATCGTTGGAGAGGCTCAATAGAAGATTGTCGCTCGTATTGGAATACTTGTTTAGACTCTGAGCACGCTTTAATACGAGCGCGCATTTGTCTGCGCCTCAATGGACGCAGGAAAAGTACACTAAGAAGACCCATTAGGATTGAACTGGAGGACGAGAAAGCCAAATGCGAATTCCAGAAACAACTGAGTTTACATTTAGGCAGTTCTGTAAACGAGACAGACCCAGATGCTGCTTGGAAAGACATACGAAAAGCTGTGGAAACAGCAGTAACATCTAGTAGTCATTTAAACCATAGGGCTCCAAAAAACCAGTGGATTTCCTCTAAGTCTATTTCACTGATGTACTCGCGTAAACTCATCCCATCAGGCTCTGAACATGACGAAGAGCGTAAAGAAATTAGATCTACGTTAACTAAAAGTCTAAGGAACGATCGTGAGCAGTGGTGGGCAACGGAATCAAAAGAGATGGAAAAGGCAGCGGCTGTAGGCAACACCAGGCAACTATTCAGACTAATAAAAGAAACCGGAATTAAGAAGTCAAGTGTAAGTGAGACAATCTCGGAAAAAGACGGAACCCTTATCTGCTCTCAACCCAAACGTTTAGAACGATGGGCGGAACACTTCAAGGAGCAGTTTAGCTGGCCTTCAGCTACTGCACAACTACCCACTATTCCCAGAAAACCTGAATGGAACATTGAAGTAGACCCCCCGACCCTACTTCAAGTTCAAAAGGCTATAAGTAATCTGAAACGAGGAAGAGCAACTGGTCCTGATGGATTGGCTCCAGAGGTCTTTAAATATGGTGATCCAATTTTAGCGATTAGGTTGACTAATATTCTGGCTAAAATCTGGGAGACGGACGTAATCCCATCTGACTGGTCACAATCACTGATTGTCCCAATATATAAAAAGGGGTCAAAATCATCCTGTGATAACCATAGAGGGATTAGTCTGACTAACATAGCATCTAAAATACTAGCCTCAATAATTATCAGGCGCCTAACTAAGACTCGTGAACTGCAAACACGAGAAAATCAGGCTGGCTTCAGACCTGGTCGTGGCTGTAACGACCACATATTCACCATTCGTCAAGTTTTAGAGCACAGACATGCTTATCGGCGTCCGACAATGATAGTTTTTCTTGACTTGAAAGCAGCATTTGACTCTGTAGACCGAGAAGTACTGTGGCAGTGTCTGTCATTGAAAGGTGTACCTCAGAAGTACATAAACCTTGTGAAGGCTCTTTACTCGAACACTACCAGTCAAGTGAGAGCTTATGGTGAACTGTCATATGATTTTACAACCTCAAGTGGTGTCCGTCAAGGTTGTCCACTATCCCCATTTTTGTTTAACTTCATCATAGACCTGTTGCTGGAAATAACACTCGTCGACTGAATTTTCAGGAATTGATCTCCTACCAGGGGGACCACTAAGCGACTTAGAATACGCAGATGACATAGTCCTGTTTGGTGAAGACACTGACGAAATGCAGGGTCTTCTGTTGGAACTGAGTAATAATGCCAGGATGTTTGGGATGCGTTTCTCCCCATCCAAATGTAAATTGTTACTCCAGGACTGGCCTGCGTCAACACCCGAACTAAGGATAGGGAGTGAAGTAGTCGAACGCGTCGACAACTTCACTTATCTTGGAAGTCTGATCAGTCCTAATGGGTTGGTTTCTGACGAAATCTCAGCACGGATTCAAAAAGCTCGTTTGGCTTTTGCCAACTTACGTCACCTATGGCGAAGACGAGATATCCGTCTATCAATTAAGGGACGATTATACTGCGCGGCAGTTCGCTCTGTTCTACTTTACGGCTGTGAAACATGGCCATTAAGAGTAGAAGATACTCGTAGGTTACTAGTATTTGACCACAGATGCCTTAGAAATATTGCTCGCATCTGTTGGGATCACCGGGTAAGTAATAGTGAGGTTAGACGCAGGGTATTAGGGAATGATGGTAAATCAGTTGATGAGGTGATGAATCTTCATCGACTGAGATGGTTGGGACACGTGTTACGTATGCCTGAACACCGATTACCACGACGCACAATGCTGACTAGTGTAGGGGATGGTTGGAAGAGAGTTAGGGGCGGCCAAACCAAAACATGGCATCAGTGTTTGAAGTCACTAACTTCTAGTCTGAGCCATGTTGGTAGATGCAGACTACTTGGTTGGGGTCCGCGTAACTATCGTAACCAATGGTTGGAGACTCTAGGTGACATGGCTCAGAATCGATCACAATGGCGTAGGTGTATACACTCTTTATCTTCCCTTAAACCTTAAGATTAAAATTGCTTCATAACTTTTTTCCTAACTATACTATATCCTTATATACAGCCTTTCTTTCATATATTAACACCACTAAATTAACTACTTCTATGAATCCGGTGTTCCTCTTGTTGTGCTAACGAGGTATTGCAATTTGGACCGATGCATATATGTGCCTGGTCCTACGTTGTAGCTGACTGACTGATTGAAGAATGTAGTCGTAAATTGGCAGATAACCTCTTCCCAAATAAACCGAAATCCTTGTCAAGCAGGTGAAACATCACAGTGGACGGCCTTAATCCACCCTCTATAAACTGCGAATAATTAGAGAGATGGTCATTCGAATTGCTAGAAATTATAATCGCCCCCGTTTTAGTTCAACAGATCAGGGATCCCAACAAACATAACTTACGACACTTCTCCTGTCCTTACTCACGGTGATGTTCGTCGAAGTGTTTTCATCTATAGGGAGAAGTGATAACATGGTCATCTAATTCGATTTTATTGCTACTGTGGTCTATCAAGGAGATGTGCCGGCCCTTCACAATAAATGATGGGCAGACACATGAAGATCAGCTATGAGGATATAACAGGCAAGTTCAAAGGCCAAGAACCGACAAAATACCCGTGACACAGGTTTCTGTAACGAGTTAGTCTTCAGTAACAACTACAGAAGCTGGTGGACCTATGTTAATCCTTCGTTTTTTTCCAGTGAAGGTCTAGCTTCTACTTGAAAATGTTCACTGATGCCACTTGTTTGGGTGGGGAGATGCACTGCGGATAGTATACTAGTAAATGTTACCGTGTCCGAAGTGCATGAGTACACTTTTTCTAGGATTAATTTCTAAGCCCCGACATTGGGACTATCTAACTACTTTGTCTAGGTCAGCTTGGAGATCAAAATGATCAGCCTCACTTCTTATTAATTTTCAGATTTTGATACCACCTGCAAAAAATAATGTCGACGACTTAAACAATTTCAGCAATTCGTTGACGTAAAGATAGAGTAGGGGACCTATAACTGTCCCTTGGGGTACGCCACTTTTGACCAGCTTCTATTCAGATAGTGTCTCATTTACCCTTACACTCTCTCTCTCCGGACACATAGGAAGTGCCTTATCCATTCCTGTGAGGAGCCTGTTATTCCGAAGCTCAAGAGCTTCCGCATAAGACCTTATCAAATGCTTTGCTAGTCTATGGATATTACATCGACAGACAGACTATTATCTGGGGTTGCTGTTTACACCAATCTCGCAATAGTTTGGTTACACATGAATGCTTGTTTCGAAACCCGCGTTGCTCGGGAGTTAACAGATTGCATGATTCTATGTGACTTAGCACCCTAATCTGAATTATCTTTTAAAGTAACTTAACCGCTATGCTGGTTAGACTGAAAGGTCGATGGTTAGATACGGTCTGTCAACTTCTGAAGCTCGCAAAAGTGATGTTTGGACCTTTAATGTAATCACTTAGAAGAATTTTTGGTAGGATCCAATCTCCCTATTTTGGTGGGAATTTTGTTCGTTTTGGATAAATTTGAGGGAAGCTGCGAGAGAAAACTTTGAAGGAATGGCACTAGACCCCCGAAATTCCCTCAAATTTGGAGAAAAACCCCAAAATGTTATGGGAAGATCCGTGCTTTCCCCAGAATCTTACAACACCGAAATTTCCTTAAACTTTGAGGGAAACTACTTTTAAAACAACTTTTATAAATGGTGAAACTCTACCGGACTTATCACAATCTTACTCTAATACCACACCACCTACAAGTCATTAACCTTGGAGAATTCGCAAGGTCACACGTAATATCAAACCAATCACTGTTGCAGTAGTAATCTCAAGGTCGCACCGTTCAACACTTTAAATTAACCGCTGAAAGTAATAAATTTTTAAGTCTTCTGTCCACACTAGTAGGGATAGGAGGTCAGTTGACATGTACTGGTTTTTGTGAAAATCAAATACCACTTTAAATGCATCAAAATGAGCTAATTTGACGTGTTCCTATGGAAAACTCCAGCAATTCACTACTCGATGAGAGAAAAGGAACTCCAGACGTAAACGATTTAATCTCGATTTATGAACATATTCAGAATGGTCTCTCTGATGATCAACCACAGATGTTAATAAAAGATGAAACATTCATTCCAAGATCATAGTTCGGTATCCGGTGAGTCGGTATTAGATAATAATAATAATAATAATAATATATTTCTGCATTAGCAGGTACACGCCATTTTTACAGGCATGATCTACAATTTACAACATATACCGGTTCACAGTATGCATCCCAAGCAAGCTTGTTTAGTAATTATAATCTATAAAAGTTGATAGCAGTTCATTCGTTCAGATATAATGTGTTTTCATAAGAATAGTTTCCAAAGGGGCATAGCGTCCACGTTATATACCAGATCCAATCTCGACAAAAAGTGTAATAGGGTTTCGGTAGTGCTAAGTATTTATGTAATGCAGCTTTTTAAGTTTATAGTTGTTATAAAGTAGGCTTGTGGAGCGCCTGGTTTGAGCTATGACCTTGGAAAAGCGCGTTCGTCAAGCTTGTTCCAGATGTCAGAAGTTACATAGCTTCACCCTCAGAGCAAGATTCTGAAGAGAAAAAATAAAAGAGAAACCGAGGAGCATCAAGGCATTTGGATATGAGCGATAATCAATGCTTAACATTTATTAGTGGAACAGATGGAGGTATGATAAATTATTAGATTAAATTGATACTAGCTCATGTTGCAAGAGCAAACTGCGATTAGGGGCTCCAGAAGAGAGAAGGCAGTAATAAAGAACAATGAGTTGTGATATTTATCAAGGTGGAGTAGGTTCCAATGAAGGAGGGAAGTCAAGGTTGGAATGAGGGAGAACAGAGAGTGCATATAGAGAGTAGTGTTAAGTAAAATAGCAACCATATCCTTTACAGCCAGTTTTTTTTCTTTTCTCATCCGATGCCTGCCACACAGTGTTTATGTAAAAGTCCGAGTTAGCATGTTAAAGGTTGTCTTAGTAGAATAGTTAATCCAGCACAAAAATTAGAAACATGAGTCTTAATGGTGAGTGTGTGGTGGACCAAAATGTATGATAACCAAAAATTAGCAACAAAAATATTATGTCTATAGTTTATGTAACAATTAACAGTTAATAAGTTAATTACACACACAAATAACAAAATAAGGGACGTTACTTAAGTCTTCAGGCTATTGCGTGTTCGGCTGGGTTTGGTCCAAATAATCCACAATTATAAAAAATTAGTAATCCCAATATGGACGATATAGATCCAGTAGGTTTACCAAGCGTAGAATTCAATAAGAATGTCGCAGTTGTCTATAAACGTAGATGGTATGCAATTAACATTTCATTCATCATATTAGCAGACATGGCAGAACGATGCAGATGTGAATTAGAGTGCATTTATTGAGAAGCAGTAACAGTGTCACGATATGTTGTATGAATTGTTTAATGCTTAATGTACAGAATATGAAAATACATGCGAAAACTATGAAAAATTATTTACAAAATAGGTTTTAAGGTTCTATCTCCACAAGTGTAGGTGAACAATCTCAATATCACAGATCTATTGACTTGTTCTCATCCATAAAGAGCCTGATACAAACAAAATGTTCTGCCCCACAAACACGGGTGGATTGAAATCATCGCCCACACCATCAGTGCTTGCTGGTCAGTAACTCCACCCTCCACCCCGGAACCTTCGATAAGTTAATGGAGATAGGCTGAGGCATCTCATTATGTCTTCATAAAATGGTCCAGAGGAACTTTTTAACATTTTGGTCCCTCGTCATTCTACCTGTTCAGGCACATTCTCTTCACAACTGAAATAAGGACTAGCTGTTTGAATCCCATATTCCAGTGTTGCCCAATAAAAGTCGTGTATATCAACCTAACATTTCTTTGTAGTGGTAAAGAAATAACTTACGAATAGTTCATAAGACTCGAGTCTTTACCAACAGTTGCCTTGCAGTTACTTTTGGTTTTGAGGTCGTTGCATATCATGACTACTCAATCTTTAAAATCCACTACTTCAAGTAACACAGCCCCACTTAATGTGTGGGTATATGGATCGTTGCAACCATTTAATCGCATCATCGAGCTCTCATTAAAATTAACTTTGAATGACCTACTACACATCCACTCAATCGGTGAATTTAGGTAATCCTCATATATTATTCTATATGAAATATCGTATATGCGTCTCCAAATATTTGTTATTACCATCGTGTGACTTCCTAATCTATAAGATCTTACGTGGAAGTCACATCATTGTCTACACTGACTCGTCGTATCATGACAATCAACAATACGATGTTCAGAACTTCCGAAGGACATATTTAGGCTGGGGACAGAATAATATATATAATGTGGAAAGGTATGAATTACACAAGAATGACCACTTCTGCAAGGCTGAGCCATGTCATACTGGCCAACTGTTCCCACGTTCCTCGTTGTTTATCTCTCAGTGTTAAATGTTGAATACGAATTTTCTCACTTACCTCGTCTTGAACTTGGAGGATCGTGTTGTTAGAACCAATACCACTACAAGTCTATGGTAAGCCCAGTGAACATTTTACTACCTACTTGCCGTAATTAAGACAATTAACCCATTACGTACAAGTATGCGTGAGTCTGGCTGAAAGGATGTCTATACCTCAATCTTTATCTGTCCTCCCATTGTTTGTATACACAGTCAATCAATAACACCCATAACTGAATAACATCTATAGAATACAGATAGACATTCCAACTTTATGCCTACAGCTGATGTCCTGGGTTTTAAAAATGCCAAAGTAAGTGCATAATAATATCGGGAGAATTAAACTGCTAAGATACCCAGTTAACAAGGCACCATATTTTATCATAAAATGAAGAGAAGTTAACCTCTACAAGTCACTGACGTGAAGCAAGTAAAGAAGATGACCAATGATTGTATCTTGAGGAACTCCACTTTAGAAAATCCCATGTTGATGTAGCTAGATCTAGCCTTATCTATTGTATCCTATCATTGAGAAGGTCACATATTCAGTCCACGATTTCATGATGGATCCCAAAACCTTCCAGTTTTAATTTAAGACTCAGGTGAGAGACCCTTTTAAATGTTTTACATATGTCTATCAAATGCATCTGCCGGGATATTCATATCTTTTGCTGCAGTTCAATCTTCTCTTGTAATGAGAAGATTTGTTAGGTATGATAGGCTTTCCCCAAAGCTATGTCGTTAACTGGCTAAAAGATTATTCACAAACGTGTAGTTCAAAATATCCATCCGAATAATCCCCTCCACTAGTTTATAGACTACACTGATCAGACAAACATTCCGATAGTTACCAACTTATTTTCAACTGCCCGCTTTGTAAACCAGATTAATAACTGTGTTTTTCTAGCCTAGAAAGTTTAGACTGCTGCAAATATACCAAATGCTAGAGGTTTGTGGTTTCTGAAAATATTTGATGCTTCAGTTTTAAAATTCAAAGTAAGGATAGCTATAGAAACTCAAAATTGTTTGGAAAGTTCATAGATTTGATATAATTTACGTAGATACCAGTCAACAGGTCGACGGAATCTCTAACACGGAAAACTTCTAAAAGTTTAGTCGTTGGAATATATTTCTTTACTACATAAACAATTGTTCCTTAAGTGTTGATGGTTTCTCGTTTTTCAATTTCTGAAAATGATCTTGGTACAAGACGTTTGCCAGGTTACCTGTTGGCTATATCTGGCTCTTAAGATGAACTAATTTAAACCATGTTCGCAAGACGATTACATTGCAGATTAATCTGAACTGTTTAGTTTCGTCTCAATATAATGAGAACGGTACCTGTCTAGTGAAATCCTGGGTTAATTGCATTATAATGCAGGTCCGTTTTGCTATAATTATATCACAGCTGTTGACGTTTGAACAACTGTTCCATAACCAATTTCGATTATGGTTAATTTTGGACAAGCTTTTTTATTAACTTACTTAACAGACAATATCATGTGCTTTGTCTTGCTGCGCCATTATGCGATTTGACAATAAATTTGCCTGCGTAACTTCTCACCTAAACTTACTCGCCTCTCCGCTTCAGATTCGCTCAGTGTGCTTATAGCTTTGTAGTCTGTCCTATCCAATAATAAACTGTAGTTGCCGCTTCTCTTTGCCTTCTGGTCTCTAACACCGTCGACATTAACATTATAATAATTATGGAAGTGAACGATTAGCGAAGCAAAGCCGCTACAATGTCTGTCATCATTATAAACTCATTACAATTACGAAGTGGTCTAATTGTGGTAATAATTATTCGCTATCATTAATTCAGTGCAGTCATGTCCATACACATCCGTTTTGCTTACTACTGCTTTTGTATGTAAGTTGGTATGATAATCAGAAGTATTCGAATTGTAGTATAAACTAGTAATCCCAGGAATAACGCAATGTAATCAAGAAGTATTAGATGAGCCCGAACGAATGTATTGTATTTGGAATTCAAAATTACAACAGTCATCAATGCGAAAAAGTCATTGATTTATTTAAGCATCACATCCGCCACAGCTCGAATTGGAGTGTAAGTGTCTGTAATCGATTGTTCGTCTTCTTCTTAAGTTCATCTTACATCTGTCCGATGGTGTATTGGATGTAGACTCTGTATTATCTAAAATGTACTCATTAGTATTAGAATTAACAACCGAAATTGGAACGGACTCACCTGGATTCTGGTACTGTATTTGATCAACGTGTCGATTATGTTTTGTCAAGTCATTGATATCCAGAATTCGCACCATAGATTTTCCAACATTCTTCACTACAATCCCCGTGGCTGGTCGAAGATCATTTCCACGATAATATGTAACTTCTGCAG